CCCAGATAGATTGAACTTCTTCCGCGGTAAATTTCTTCCAGTTCTTGTGAGTGCGGTAAACGGAAAAATTCTAAAAGTGAGTTCTCCCTCTCCACCCTCCGAAAAAAACTACTAACACATCCAATTCATTTTAACCCATCATCAAGCCTCCAACCCCGTTAAATGATTTTACTGACCTATTCTACAATCACGCTACTGATTCCGTTGCAGTGCTGTAGACATATTGCTCTGCAGTGATGTGAGCGGGCAATTAAGCGTGAAAACCCGGGAAATCCTTCTTGGAATCTTAAGCCTGTGGAAACAGCGTTGCGAACATTTCTTGTTGTGCTCTAACTACACCATAACTCAACTGCGAATGTGAACGAACGAAATGCTGTTTTGATTTTACTGACCTTAAATGCAAGATTACCAAGACTCTAAATAAAAGCGTAATTACCGTGACATTAACTGACAAATGTTAGAGGTATCTCTCGTCCCAATCATATAATTATTTCAGAAGAGCTCTTGATGTTCAACGTAAATTTTCATAAACCTCTTTCATTATTTCAAATAATTAACAGTGAGTATCAAACAAACGTTTTGCAATCCTCTCGAGTCTCCTATATAAGGTATTATTTACTGATGAAGCTCTTAAAGAAGCATTAGACAAAAGACCTTGTAATTCCGTCCAACACAGATGATTTTGGTGCCTATATTCGGGAAATTATGAAGTGCCGCAGACTGGTTCCATGAAGTTAACGTTGATGGTGTTTGAGTGGAAGAAATTAGCGAACATGCTGATTGATGAGACAGCAATGGACGGAGTGACCGTATCATCTCTGAGATTTCGAACAAAACAAATCGTATTTATTCGTTTAATTAAATCAGCCATTGGAATGTGCTATGAGCTAATCAACGAATTTTATTGTGCAGTTGTTACAGATCAGCAGATTCGCAGTTGTTACAGATCAGCAGCTGATCAGCAGGTTCGCATTGAGCGCACTTTTCGAACTGAATCTTATTGAGCAAATGAATTATGACTTTTAGCGCCTTTTTCTTTCATAACACAACGTATTTATTTGTTTTATTTTTGTTTCTCATTATTAATTATTACTTGGACGTCGAATGGTTGTTTCGTCAATCGCAGTGGGCGATCGGCGGAATATTTATTCTATTAGTGTAATGGTTATTTATTGAGTTGGTGTTTGATTGCGTTTAATTGTACAAAGTATTCACGGTGACCAATTATTTACTCGGTTGTGTTCGGTTGGCCTGCTCGCCTAGCCAGCGGGGTGGCGTAAATTGAGGCTAAAGCAATGCGCACGGAAACGCGAGCATTGTGGCCAGCAACGTTATAAACGTTTGATAGCCTGGCCGATTCATGTAATCCATGTAATTTTCGTTTCTATTATGAGATGTCGAGTTCAGCAGTGAAATTCTGGATCAGAGAGCGTATGAAAGTAACTGCCCGCGGTTTCTGATTTTCAAGCCCTTCCGAATGCGATGTAGACATTGAACTGAGAGTAAGATTTCTATAGCTGAGATTCATCCTTAGGGATCAAAGTTTGCGGTACTTGTGCTGTTTAGTCCCTCCACCCGTACGCAAGGTCACGCGCGCGTGCGCGTAGCCACGCCCACTGGATAAGACTAAGCCTAAGCCTAAGCCTGATGCCGAAGTCAGCGTAACAGAATGGGTGTGGCCTAAAGCGCGTATGACAACGTGCGGCGGTGTTGTTGAAAGCGCAAATGGTGTCTGCGTGCGGGTGGAGGGACTAAACAGCATAAGTGCCTTGCCGTGCCTTGAAGTTTGAACTTTGAGGTTAAGGCTCATCTAGAGGTCACGTTGAGATTTAGAGCACTGTCCCCTTGTATGAACAAATTAATTACAAGGTTACCGTTTCTATGCTAACCAGCGTTCTATTCTTTTTTATTGTGATTAATACCTTTTAGTATGATGAACACGGCGTTAGTGACGAGCAATTTCAAAAATATCGTTGTGATTGAATAATTGAATATTTTCATTCATTTTATCGTTGGAATTGTAAAGTTTCAGTAACGCTCTACGTGATGTCATCAGTAAGCGAGTTGAGTGATGCTGAACTGCGTTCCGAGCTGATGGCGCTCGGTGCTAATGTCGGCCCGATAACCCCGTCGACTCGTTCCGTCTACGAGAAACAGCTGGAGAAACGTCGCCGGTCATCCGCCATCCTCACATCGTCTGCAGCTGCTCCACTCACCAAACCATCGTCACCTTCAAAATCACCAGTTCGAATTAAACGTAAATCTACAGTCACTAATACGGTGAGCCCATCGTTTCATTCTTGAGTCTGTTAGCTAAGATTCACAGCCAAAAGAGCATCGTTTGGCAGGTAGCAACAACACCTTTATTTGAAAGAAAAACAGTTCTTGACATTAAATTGAATTAGTTGTTGAATCATTTTCTTCCGTTCCAGTGGCTGATCAACTTCGCTTCCCATCAGGTGCTAACTCATTCAGTCACTCAAGTTTTAATTCCTTCTGCGATCATTCTTTGTCGTTTTCCTTGTTTAACTCATTGTGGGTCATGAAAAATATCATAAATTGGGCATCCGAGCTTCATTTCAGGAAATTACCACCGATCTGACAAGGCGTCCATCGAATAATCGAAAATCTCAAGTTGGTGGTGGTCAGAAGATGACTCGAGCTGAGACCGAAGAATCCTCAGATTCAGAAGACCATGCAGCACGTGGCTCCTTTGAAAATGAGGAACAAGATGTATCGAGTGCTCCAATGGTATTGCGTTCTCGTACAACACTTCCGTCAACCCCTCAAGAACCGATACAGAGCTCGGCAAAAAAATTATCTTCACAGCAATCACCGAACAAGAAATCGTTAGTTGTTGTTTCTTCTTCTGTTTCAAAAACTTCTGGAATGATTTCTATGAATCGTTCTTGATTGGTGTTAGATTTGCTATGAAATGATGTGAAGAAGTTATGTATTTCTGTTAATGTTACTTCGATGATGAGTATGCTTGTGGATTATGCTCTACGATGCGGACTAAGCTATAGTACAAATGAATCTGATTAACGTTTCTCTTGCAGTGGCGCTGATGTTTATCCTGGCCTCTTGAACAGTGGTATCCATCTGCAGCAGCAAACGATCGGTATCGCCTCCAGAACATCTTCGAACTCCCCGATGCAGTCAGGTTCGAGCCATCAGTCGTCTAAAGTCGCCAAGCGTACTCCAACTCCGCCACGTTTCTCGGCTCGTCGTCAACTCGATACGAGTGCACTATCTTATGGCATAACGAACACACCTGAAATGACGTCCATCTACTCATCAAGCACTCTCTCGAACCGATACGTGAATGATCTCACCAAATACACTAAATCCTATTCGACTCGTTCGTTTTCTTTCATTCTGTTCAATTTCTTCGTTTCATCCTTTTATGTTGTGACAGTTGTGCTGTGCCATTCACAGATGCATTTAATGAGTACATTATCATGCGTATTATCAGCACAAGTACAGCAATTTCAGCATGAAAAGCATCACTCAGTAGTTCTTTTTCCAGCAACTTCGAAGTCTGATAAAATCTTGTGAGATGTGAGGTTGTTCTGGTTGTGAATAAGAATAAAACAAGATATCAAGTTGCAGAATCTGATGGACGATTCACACATTCGTCGAGTGGTATTAATACGAGCGATGTTGGTATAAACCGTCGTATTGTTAACAGTCGTGTTGACGGTGGTGATGATGATTATGAGAATGAAGAGGACGATGATGGGCATATGGAAAGTTCCAGAGATTTGAGAGAGGCGATGACTAATCGCTTCGGCGGAAGAGCAATCAGCTCGTCGTCATATGTGCCACCGAATTACTACGGCAGTTCAACTAAGCCTCAGTACAACACATTCATCAAGTCAATCTTTCAACTTCCATCACGGTTCTTCAACGCTCTGACTGCATCGTTTAAGCGTGTTCCAGCTTCACCAACGGTTTGTTCCATTTTCTGATTGAATTCATATCCGTGTGAGATGTCAAATTCTGTATACTAATATTACGACGAATGGAATTATTGTTAACTCGATCAAGCTAAAGCTTATGACTTTCGTAACGCTATTATATTTGAAGATGTTGGTGTGGAGTGGGATGATTTTATGGTCGTTTCATCTTAATAGTGATGATCTCAGTGATTTGAAACCTCTCACAGACATGGAATCTTTGAATCATTCATTAATTTGTATTCTTATTATTGATCAGCCATTCTGAAATTAGATAAGGAATATGATTCTCTGCTATTGATAATATATATTTCTTCAGACAAAACCCCATTATGAGCGGAGACAAGCGTACAGTCTTGCTAGCAGCCAGAGCAGACACACTACCGATGGCGCATCGTCGCGTGGACTGGCCATTTCTCGACTTTTGCTCTATTTACTTGCCATTTTATTCGCGTTCCTGCTGCTTGCCTATCTGGCAACCGTGCACACTCAAATCTTCATCAATGCCGGACGAATTGCGTTCAGTCAGTGATTTCATCTCTTTCGTTTTAATTTTGCCTTTCCAATGAATTTCGTTATCATTCTTATTTTATGAAACACAACTGTCCAACATGGATGGTTTCTTATTTTCTCCGAGATGACTTCATTTATAAAGTATTTCGACAACTAAATGTGGGTCACAGCAGGAATCCAATTTCAATTCAAATGAAGTGTGGGTGAAAGATTATTCGTTTCATTGATTATGTTCTCCCCATTCACCACAAGTTCGGTAGTGTATGCGTTATTAGAAAAAGGTTCTGAGTCACATTCAACTTCACTTGTGGAATTGAAGTTATCTGGAATGCTTTTTTTGGGTAATTATTCTTTTTATTTCTTTGCTACTGTTATGATTGCATTGCTTTGATCAGTCATTGTATTCGCATTTAGATGCTGCCACAGAAACAGCAATATTTCTCTATGCATACGCCATTCTACCAACAATCATTATCGCACTTGGTGAGTGTTTGGTGCGCTGTTACCTTCTTTTATGTGTTGGTGATAGATTTTTGTGTGCAAAATGGAGGTCTGAGAAGTGCAGGTTTCAGCTCAGAAAAGCATGCTTATTGATCTCGAAGCAACCATATGAATTGTGTTGTTGAATTTCATTGTGTTGTAAAAAGTTTACTCAAAACATCTTTTCGGCTCAGACACCGCATTGTACGAGCTTCAACCTGTTTATCTCAACTCACAGAATCGTAAATTCTTGACCGCAAATAGCCTCTGTGAAAATTCAGTGAAGAATAACTGGATGAATAGTTGCGTTATCTAAATGGTCTCATGTAAAAACTTTCAGTAATCGCTGTCGGTGGGGGAATATATTTGACGAAACAGCGTTGGAATGCTGTACAAGCTGAGGAGAGACGTGCTGTTTTCGATCTAATTGAAAAGATCACCGGTAACGTCTTGTGAGATTATTTCGCAAAAAAATCGCCTCTTTGAATATCTCACTTAGAGATGCATAAAACTCTGTTTAGCGTGTTATGCTTAAGTGATCCATTTGATGTTTTGAAATGTTTTATGCAGTGGTTGGTAACTTTGAGGTGGTATTTATAATCTTTATTATTGTCTAAATTCGTTAGTATTGGCAGATAGGCTATTGATGTATTTGAAAGATGTGTCTGGCTTGGCGGGATTCTAACGCGTTGAATTTAGATATGATTCGTGATTCGAGCGAACAAGGAGAGATGTATGTGGCCGAACCACACGTGCGCGATATGCTCATTCCACCATCCAAAAGGTTTTTTTTAAATCTTTTCAAACAGCATTACATTTGCGCTGGTTTATGCGTTGTTTTACATATCTTTATTCGTTGAAAGACGTTTGTGGTGCAGTGCGAACGGTTCGGATTCTACCAAAACGAACAGCAATAATTCCAGGCAAGGCGACAGTCCCGAATGGCGTCGTTGGCAAGAGGCAACCAACTTTATCAATTCGAAAGAGTCTCGAGTGAGCGCCGAAACGCGTATCATCAACGGTGCTGAGTGTGCGGTATGGCGCTGGTTACCGGCCAAAAAAACTGGATGGCAGGGAAATGGTTGGTGATTCTTTTTGTACATTTAATTTGTTGACTGCGCCATTCCCTTATGAACTTTATTACTGTGATTCTCAAAGTTCTTCCTTAGAGCTGTTGGTTTTTCCCTCATTTCGTTGTTGATATAAGCTTTTATCACGTTCACTGCACATGTGAATCTTATTAACATTCAGCATTCAACGGACAGTCACAGAATGTACCACAAGAAGCACTCTCGCATTGCCTGAAACTTCGTGGAATGTTTCCATCCAAGCAGTAAGCCTTATCTATCTACATCACTTTCATCACATTAAGTGCTGGCTTCGAAGCGCATTGTCTCTTTTGAAGTGGTGCAACAAATTGAGCACATAAACTTTGCTTCCTGTATTCAGTTTGCATACTCCAGTCACTCGTAATTCTTTCGAAATTAAGAATATTTTCTTTTTTAACTTTGCATAATTTTCGAGAGCAACTAGCTGCACTTATATTTAACGTGTGATAGGCGATAAGTGGTGCGCTAGGAAAAGAACGTTGTGTGAGATCAAGAGTGATAAGAGAGATTAGACTTATTGTTAGATAAGAGCGTTTCAGGGCATCGGATAGGGACGGTACTGACGTGAGAGTTGCGTTGCTTCAGAAGCTTTTGCCGATTCGTCCATTGCATTTACACGTCGATGAGAACTCGAAAGAGGGCATCGTCTTTGTGCGTTTTGGGTCATTGGATGATTGTAAGAATGCATTCACTGCGTTGCACGGAACATGGTTCAATGGTGCGTTTCTTGGGTGCTTTTGTTTAGAGGTAGTGCTGAATATGGTGGATTGATTCATCATCAGCTGTGCTCTCGTGAGTGACACGAACAGCGTGCATATAGGTCGAACGCGATTCGAGGACGTACGTATTCGTATCCTTGTGAAGTCTCATTAATCGAGCATTCTGATTTCAGGCCAATTGGTATCAGCCAAATATCTTCGTGACGAACGTTATGATCAGCGATTTCCTGGTGCTGTGAGGCAGTAATGTTGTATTGTTGTATGGAACGTGCTGAGGGATGATGAGAAGGGCAGATGAAATTAATGAATTTTAATTGCACACTTTGTCAAGTCATCATTGTTTCTTACAGCTGCATTTCTTATATTGAATTGTTTGCAGAATTGATTTTGAAGTGTCATTAACAGATGCGTCGATGAGTAAACAATTGTATGCTTGGATGATGCATTAGTGTGGTGCTAGGTTTAGCTATTTGATCGTGTTCTTGTTGTTCGGAGTTATTAATGCGGGCATTGTAAACCTCATGGGGCTGTCGCATAGTTGTCAAATACCGAGGAATGTGTATTGAGGACGGAGGAGAACTCCTCCTTTGACAAATGAGTTTCAGTGCTTTCTATTCAGTGATTTGTTTTTTTGACCGTCATTATACACTCAACTTGTTATTGTGTTCTTTGATGTGCTGATTTATGATACTGAAATATTTTTTTGATGATCATATTACATTTCTTGGTATGTAATTTTTTACGTTTTAATTCCATCTTGGGTTGTCCGTGCTTGATTTGATTCCAAATGTTTGTGCTATTGTTTTTATTCGATTTATTGTTGGCGTTGTCACATTTTCACTTGTCCAATAGATTTGTGAATTCGGAATTGATGAAATTATCTCAGCACAGATCATTTCCATACACTCCTGCTCGTACGACTCCCATTCGAACCGAATTCTATTCTCATTGTCGAATTTCGTGTTATGTTATCACATTGTTCGTGTTAAGTAACTGAAAATGGATTTCGTCTTCTTATTGTAATTTTGGGTCTTGATGAGCAAAGCATAGTTTGTAGTTGGTGCATTGTTTGCTCTACTTTTTCGCATTGATTTCTGCCGATTCATTTAAATCAGTCATCTGTCGTACTTTCCCACTATCGTTCAAACCTTAAGTGTTCTTCACATTTTCATGCTCTTCAGTGTCGTCGTTAAACTTTAGTGTTTTATCATTGCTTTTTTCAAGTTATAAAATTATTTCGTTCGATATGCTATGTGACTCCATAAAAAACCTCTGCGGTGATCAATTATATGAACGGATTACTCGTCATCAGTTCGAGTGTTCACTTTAGATGATCAACAAAACAAATGAAAATCAAGCTTTGAAACGGCCACAGGCTGAGTAGAGGGTGAATCGAGCGATAGTGAATGGGTTCGAGAGAACTGGGTTGTGTTAATCGTAGGACTAACCTAGAATAAGCAAGTTTGGGGAGTGAAGGCATCGACTGGACGATAACGAATGCAATGATAAGAACAGTATGGCATGATTGATGGTTTGATGTGGTCGGTTGCTTGAGGGGCGGGGTTGACATGAGTAAAGCATCGGAAGGCGTAGAGTTGTGCCGCAGGCTTGCTGCTCAGCACTGAGCAGTAAGTAAGTTGAAGACGCGAAGCAAAAGAACAACCCTGAACTGAGCAATTCGCTAGTTGGCAGTACTCGTATTGGCAGCAATCTCTTTACTCTCCAATTATTCTTCTTGACTTAATTCACCTCGTATTTCTACTTATATCCCGTTTTTATATCCATCAGCATTTATTTATTACTTTACTGCAAGCACAAATGTTCATTGATACGATAATGCTCGTTCAATCTTGATCCCAGCGATTTCCTATTCTCCTCAACGAATCATGTTGTTTCTTATCAAGCTGCTGTTACCATCATATTCTCATTAGCATCATCCTTGTATCGTCGTTTCAACTCATTAATTACTTTACTTGAACTTTTCAAATACCCCATCAATACTCCAAATCAATCATCTATAAAATTAATTCATAACATTCAACTCCTATTACCTTAATTATCACTCATTATTCGACAACAGTTCAGTGCGATGCAAGAAGGACGTCCAGTGGTATCGGATGAATTTCTCTCATCAAGTAGCCTAAACCTAACAACACCAATAGTCCCAGTATCGTATTTCACAAGCACATCATCATCACCTACCACTTCGATATCGAGCAGTAACAATGAGGATGTTCTGAATCAGATCGAATCCTCGTTAACAACAACAGATTACGATGAGCTGCCCGATTGGTGTAATGTGCTGTCGTCGGACTGTGAATGCCACATTTTATATCAGTTTTACGATTATGAAGAGGTGTTAATGCTCGGCTTGATCACACTACCGATCATCATATTCGGTCTGTGCGCTAACCTCACCTCTGTTCGTATTTTCACGCATCGTCTCATGATAAATTCATCGATAAATTGGTATCTTGGAGTGTTGTCGTGCTCGGACACATTCATTCTATTCTCTGCATTCTTTGTGCTTTCGTTGCCCAGGATCGGCGAATATACGGGTTTTTGGGCGGCCACAAGTTGCAGGTGAGTTGATAATACATGTGTTTTTGGTGGGAATTTAATCGATAATTCACAATTGCTCTTTTTTCCCTGTGAGAGCTTCGTTGTTTTTTCCGTTATTTGTTGATCGTTGAGCATTCGCACAATTGTTCTTGAAAGATACATTCGAGAGATCTGTCACGATCAAATTCGATGTGACAACTTCATTGAGAAAGCATGCTGACATGTTAGTAAGCAAGCAGTCGCACCAAAAACATGTCTCCAAAGTTTAATTCAATGCTCGCGATGAGTTAATCAGCGGCTCATGAATAGAAAATGCGCGCATTGCGTGGTTATTTGTTTGCTATTCATGGGAACTGAAGTGTCGTTATGATCAATAAGACACTCCATTAACACTCCATCTGAGATGCCCTTACTAATAACAAAATGAAGGGAATATGATGTAATGAGCCTTATCGGGAAGCACAACCGGGCAAGCATTTTATGCTGGGCATTTTCTGGAGTATTTCATTGTGACAGTATATTGTTTGTTCATAGATGTCATGAACTGTCATAGCTGATATTTGGAAAAGATGCATAATTTAGGAATGTAGAAGTATGATGTGAAAGTATATTGAGAACATTGTATTAAGTAGGATTACTTCCATTCCATGTGTGTATTAGAAGCTGTCTGCTCCTCAGAAGTTCTGTTACAAAATTGTATTATCAAATAAAAATCAATCAATTGTGTGCACACATGAAACAATAAGATAATCTGTTCATAATTGAATCGAACAGTTTATGATTTCCGAATGCGAAAATCTCACTCTCTTACCAACCAGTCTCAATTAAGTTCCAAGATGTTCGATATATTTTGCTGCCTACAGCTGGGGGCTTTATGGTCACGACAATATTTTTCGGCTTATCGCTACTCTTGTGAGAAGCACAGATTCACATTCAGCTATATGAAACTTGTACTTTAATGGTGAACGCAGAAGTTTCAGCAGTCGATAAGATAACTATGAGTTTTTGCAAAGAAATGTCCACTTGCAAAAAACCAGTCTTCCATCATAGCAGTTGTAAAATGTTGACAGAATATGGATTCACTAGTGAAAATGTGTTCAACATCAAAGCAACTTATGATTCACCGAATATTACATTTCTGCCTTAACAATGAAAAACTAAAGATGACTGAATGAATGTCGAGCTGGGTCTAGCCTGTCGACTTGTGCGCCCTCGAAAACCCACTCTTTCTCATAAGTCATTAAGAAGACACGTCCCCGAATCATCAACCAATGGCTTTGGCGCTGATCATGAACAATCAGTTTCATTAATCGGAATTTTGAAACCGCAAACTAAAACAAATCATTGGCAATAAATCATAATATGAACAAACATAAACTTGTTGTAATTTATGATGGAAACTTTATGTTTCTTGCAATGAAACACCAAAGTAAATCGGTTGGTGGTATTTATGAGCCCTCAGGGAGAAGGACAACAAGCTGAAAGGCATATCGAAAGTTGCTCGATGCTATTGAAACAGTCGTACAACTCTTGCTAGTGCTATCAGCTAGAGGAATTTCGCTTTACGTCATAAACATTCTTGAAGTTACTTTCATGAGAATGTCCTTTCGAATGACAAAAAACTATTCAGTCATAATGATAGAAAGGCGCTTGCTTCCACAATTCAGTCATACTATATTTTGTCTATTGAGGAATTTGGAATTTTTTTTGTTCACCTCAGACGTTTGCGACGAATTCGTCGAGATCTTAAATTATTCCACTTGGGTCGTGCTCTATAATTTGCTTTGGGAGAAACAGTGAGGGGTTTCTTTATATTAGAAAATTGCTCGCTGAATAACGATTATGCGTAGCTGTTGCCATAGAAAAAACGAAACTCGATGTTCTATTTGCCACTTGCAAGCAATTTGAATTCTCATAAAGTCATCGCTGATTCAGGAAGCATTCGATTGGACTGAAATGGAATTTACCAAATGCCATGCAAATTGACATTTTCAAGAGTCAATAATAACTAAAAGCAGTCGGTGGTTGAATTCCTTTATCTCTCTTAATAAGATGTTTCTAAATGGCACAAGGTTTCCGCCTATGACAAAGCAGCCTCTCAAGAAGGGATCTGTAGGATGACGATTAGGGAATTGGGAAATATAGCAAGTTAATGGTCATGAACCTTTAATGATAATGACTCACCGCATGGTTAGGGGGGCGCATGAGGTGCAAGAGTTCGGCACTCACTAATCCATAATAGAGTTATTTTAGTTTCAGTGCGAATGTGATAAGCTTTTAATTTATATCAACATCACTTCGAATCGATCACTTAAAAGAAATTCTCCACGGTAGTCAGATCACAGAGCAAAATGCGTGCGTGTATTAGTTCGTGTTGTAACGCTAGCATGTTGCAGAGAAGGGAACACTAAATTGTTTAGAGGACAAATTCAGTTTTGCTAGTGGGAGTATATAACAGCGAAACGAGACTCGCTCAACGCTCACGCCGATCGGCATTTTTTGGAAAATCTTTGTGCTTTTTCTACATTTATTTTTTGCCGAAGGACATTCTGGTCATAGAATAAGACCACTCAAATTGGTCGCATTTTCTGTCAGAAATCACTAAGTAGTACAAGTTTCGCAATGGCATGAATGTCTCTGACAGATATCACGTAGTTGGTTGGGTTTTTTGGTGAATGGATTTTGAGGAGTGGAAAATTGGAGCGATGGAAAATTGTCATGGAGATTGACGAATAGGACTAGAGGATACTATCTTAAAGTCGAAAGTTTGAGACATAGAGAAACAATGCTTATCTTATTATAATTTTATTGCGAGTGCATTCAGAAAGCTGAGATAGATGCATGCTCCATTCACATTATAACAACTTATTTGCGTTGTATATTACTGTTTTCAATAAGCCTTTTAAGTTATTATGTACGAAGTATCAACCCACATCACGCAGTTGTATGTATAGATGAGGGACATCGAAGAATCTTCATGTTTTGAAACAGTTTAGATGAACGTTTAACGACCAAAAATTAAACAACAAAACATCCTAAGAATGTACTCAAGCTAACGCGAGCAGATCAGATGTGATCAGTAGAATAGTCACTTAAGTGGGGCAGAAGAGCAAGATTTTAACACATAAGTACACAGTGATTAATTAGTGAGCTTTGTCATAGATAATAAATGCGGCTGATTTGTCTTTGAAATTACAGTCATGTCTCAATTTGTCATGCAGATATATATTTCTGATGTTTGTTCAAACAATCATTCTTCCTTAAACGCAATGTATTCGAAATTACGGAAAAGTCCATCGCTATCAATGAATGAATCTTCGTGTATGGGTGAATGTTAGACAGAAAATATAATTCACGTCAGCTTCCAAGCGTGATAATTCAATTACTCGAATCAAATGGGCAGTTCCGATCAATTCCACCAGTTTTTGAGGTGAGAAGGGCAATAGATTCGTATTTGCACATTTGTAGGTGCCGTCATTCATTGTCGGTTTCACCTGCTGTTACCTCATCTGTTATTCATTCTATTCGAGTACTTCGTCAGAAAACATTTGCTCACGAACGCTTACACTTGAGCCGCACACTAGAAAAATTCGATGTGATCACAAATTACTTTCTTCTTTAGAACCCTTCTTTTTATAATATGTTCATCTTATTGCCTCGTTGCTGTTCGTCCTCCGTTGATGAGAGAGCAAAATTTTTGTTGATTTGTTTTCGCCGAACGGAACACACCAATAATTCAATTCCCGGAAAGTTATCAAGGCTACGACCTGATTGCTTAGCATAAAATACTGCAACCATTAAAAGAATAGTGGGATTGCTCCTATTTCAACTCATTAAGACAAATTTTTGAAGATATGAACAAGATTTAGATCTTGAAAATTCGATTACCTCGTTTTTCATCCTGAAACTGTTGAAACGATTATCGGGTGATAGCACATGCCTGCTGTGACTTACAGTAACTGCGTTCAATGAGTGCGCTGATCGATACGATACTTCTGACGTGGAATCGCTGAATTAGCGAACATTTCGTTTGTTCACATTCCATGAAATGCGCTGAGAACTGAATTATTATCAAGCAATTTCTTCAGTGAAGAAACTTTCCAGACGAAAAATTTCTATTCGATAGAATGGAATGGGGCGAGAGAAGTAATTGCATCATGGAACCATTGGGAATGACGCTATTGGATTTCACTAAAAAATGTTTCGTGACAACGCTCGACTGAATTCGGCAAAATGTATGAACAATAGAAAGTAAGGACGGAATAAATGTCTAAAACTTCACTAAAAAAAGTTGAAAACTGACAAACAATCAGTGGAAATTTTCAGTTGGAAGTTGATGATTTGATTGGGAAAATGTTCTAAAGCATGAGTTGAAAATGGACCAATAAAGTTCAGATGGAAGGGAAAAAGAAAAACAAACAAATGCAAGTCGCAATTTATTATGGTGATTGAACAGAGAAATGGGGTAAACAACGATAACTCAACAATTGATGCGTATAATCGATGTTGATTATGAGCAATTAACTGGAAATTGTTCTGATGAACTTAGATTTTTTTTAAGGTTGTGAGAATTCCTATCCAGAATCATATTTCAGAGCGCTTATCTGCATATGTTTCAAGTAGTGCGTGTTGGTCGAGAATTGAGAAACACAAAAACAAAACAATAATAGATTTGTTTGCCATTGCTCTTCATAATCGATACATTCCTAATTTTTTGTTAGTTTTTTAAACAACTTGCTGACAAACTAAGAATGAACTTTTTCAACTAGAGTCGATACATCATGATTTGTTGCATTTCAGCGGTAATTGTATGTTCAAGTATATTTATAAAGTTAGGTTTTCATTTCCAGATTGTTCTATTCATTACCTTTGTCATTACTCGGTGTTCAAGATTAGCCATAAAATTCGTGAGAATTTTATGATCATGAAGTGAGAAACACAGTCGATAGTAAAGAATACCATTGCGCTTCTCAACAATCACTCGTTCGTAGACAATGACTGAAAATACTGTTGAAATTCGCATTA